GTGAAGACAGAGTAGGCAACTATGGCTTGTTCATGAATATAAGAAAAAAGAGGGTATTGACCCATCCTAGTGGCATACAAGAAACCCTGACACTTGCCAGCGACACCTCTGAAACACTCGACATGAATAGCACAAATACGGTGAATGATAAATTCTCAGGATGCAGATATGGGAATTCCCTACATTTCAGGGGAAAACTGCTGAAATAAAGCTGAAACAAGAAGAAGGAATAAGGTCACAAACAGAAGCATTAGAAGAACTGAGTGATGCAGGAACAGAAGTATTAGCTTCTTCAGAATTCATCAAGAAGAAAAGATTGCTTGATGTGAATAGCATAACCATCAACAAAAAAATCTAAATTATTGGGGGAAAGCAGAGCTTATTTCAGATGCCCTGACATGCACAGTTAGTTACACAGCATGTGGTTGATTTAATGCATAAATGACGAATGCTCTGCAATTTGTAAAGCACAACTGGATATTTTGAGTCAGAAGAGCATGAGTTCAAACTCAATAATAAAAAGCTTTCAGTATTTCAGAAGTATGTCTGATTTGAAATGTACGTTAAAAGCTAACTTTTGACTGCTTTTATCTGTTACTTAACTGCCACATTTGTGTGAAAAAATCTAAGTTCATACTTTCACATTATTTTGTACTGGAATTTTTTTAATGAGTCTTATTCCCCATTCAGATGTCTGTTGTGGTTTAACTCTCTCAACGCGGACTCGGTGAACTTGACCGACCACGTGACCTCTTTGTACTTGTTTAAAGTCTTTATAGATTTAATACTTATAACTTTCAATAGTTTGCATATCTTCACAAAATTTGGCAGTCTTTCAGTTAATATTGTCTTTCACATACAAAAAAATAATGCTAGCAAAGTATTTTTAATAAAATGAATCAAAGGTTTATCCATGAATATATTAAGTATTTGTTTTGAATAGTCCGTGTGCAAAGTAACTTTTATTTTAAAATTAAAAATACTTTTCCTCACCTCAAAAATCTCAAAGTTCCTTTGTGTAATCTCTAGAGCCTCTTAAATGCATTTCAAAAATTTTTTTAATGTAAAACTTTTTAGTTTATCTGTTATTTTCTCAACCCTATCTCAAAACAGGATTGGTCAATTGGATCAATGCTGTAACCACCAAAAAAAAAAAGAAATAAACCTAAATTACCCTTCTTTTCTTTCTAGAATGACTTCAAATTGTAACATAAAACTACATTCGTATACCTTAAGTAGCTTTAAGTTCGTAACAGTATACATCTATTCATAATTAAACTTTATTGTTTTATTGCCCTTTGAAATTTTATTTTATTTGCCCGTGTCTAACTACTATCCGTGCCAATAAGAGTTGTAAATCACTTGGAGAACATGCAGGTCACATTATGCTATTGAATTACATTACCCACGAGCTACTACAAGCTGCTTGCATGCATGGCTCATGAACAATTTTAATTGTATCACTATTGTTACTTATTTTACCTACTCTAGTCTTAGATAACTTAAAATGATCCATATTTTTAGATGTTAATTAATTTTATAATAATAAATAAAGAATAAACATAAAAAATTATAAATAAAATACTTAACCAATCTTCTATTTTCTTGCTGTCGGGTTTCGAAGAGAGTTAAAGTGAAAGCAAATCCTGAATTGTCTCTGCCAGAAACAAGGTGAGGAGAAATGGTAGGCGGTGAAAGAAACGTGAGAATGAGTCTGTGTGAAACAACCTTTATCATCTGTTGATCTTCAAGAAAAGGGAGCCAGCGAGGAAGAAAATCCCAGAAACGAGCTCCACAAGGCCCCGAACCCACCGAGTAGTCACCAGTACTATTGACAACAGACGATAGGTCGACGATGACCTGGACGAAAAGAAGTACCCAGATTTGAAGGAACAGGTAAAAGATGGGAGGACAAAGGACGGGGAATGGGAATAAATGGCATGGAAGGCTCTGGTTGAGAGAAATGGGCCACAAAAGTTGAAAGGGTGGACTGTTGTTGGGCAGATGTTATCCGCAGCTCGATATCATCAAGGACAGTATCAAAGACATAATGTTGAAGAAAGGGAGCAAGATGTAAATCCCTGAGATAAGTGGAGGGTAAATTAACATGAGCCAGAATGGAGTTCCTACCAATAACGTCCCAACAACTATGAAACCACATATGTAACAAGAAAGATGAGGAAGAAATCTGAGCCAAAGTGGAAGAGCGAAGGTGAAGGATATTGGCAGAAAATCCCTCGGGATTTCTGTGGAGAACCTTCAAGAGGAGATGTATAGAAGACAGATACCGGAGAAGGGTAAGATGATGGCAAGAATATTGGGCATGTGTGAGACTAACATTATATTCGGAAGCCACCCCCAAAGAGGTAATAAAGATCACAATAACTGGTGATCTAAAAACTGATATTCTGCCTGTTGGTAAGCAAGGGTAAGGTGATCAGAGGATCTCGGGGGCACAGCACACTGATCCCTTCACCTAATTGGGAAAGAAACTGATCTGCATGAACTCGATTATCAGGAGAGGGAGGAAACGCCAAAAATAGTTTAGAAAAATGCTCATGAAACAAAGAAAGATGAGGGAATAAGAAATAGGGAAAAAAGAGACAAAACATCACAAACCTGAGATACAAAATCCATGATCTTTGAGGACGGCAAACTCAGGAGGAAAAAGACAATCAAAATTGTCATCATGCTGAATAATGTCAGCAGACTCTGAAGGTTTGTTTGTTTGTTTCTAATTATGCACAAAGCTACACAAGGACTATCTGTGCTCTGCCCACCACGGGTATCGAAACCCGGTTTCTAGCATTGTAAGTCTGCAGACATACCGCTGTGCCACTGGGGGGCAACTCTGAATGAGCATGGGTAACATCAGAGGGCAAAGGGTGACCCAAGTAGCATTCAATCTCCTGACAGACAAAATCAGAAAGATCCACAGTCGGGTCGCTCATACCTGAGGTCTGAGATAGAAGTTTAGTCATTGGTGTGATCCCTGAAGTGGTAACATGGACTTTGAAATTCATAACTCACAAAAACTGCACAAAATTATCTATTGCAGAAAAGCAATGATAATAAACTGGGAAAAATGTGGTAATGTAAAAAATAATAATAATAAAAAAAAAGAACCACTTCATATGAAAATCAGAAATGTGTCACTTGGGAAGCACGAAGCAGAAAAGAAAATGTCTGTACTTGAAAGCTGCCAAACGAGTAGTGAAGGTTCGGTAGAGGAGTGTAGAGGGAGTCACATGCTTCATGTGAGCATACTATGCTACTATTGGTTAATAGATGGTGTATGATGATTTGAATGAGAGACATGTTGGAATGTACTAATTCCAACAAGGGGGGAGCACAAGGCTTGTGGCATGCATAAAGAAAATTTTTGCATATAGAGAGCAGCACTGAACGAAAATAGCTAATCTTGTAAAATGAGAAGCTTGAGATTTGAATAGAATCACAGCTTCCATCATTATATCTTTACTTAACATTAGAATACTACTTTTATGACTATTTTACAATAGAGTAACATTTTACGATTGGAAATTCTGGTTATATTTCTTTTATCAGTGAGGAAGTCAGTAATGTAGGGATTTTATTCTCCACATAACGTCAAGGTGACTTAGTCTGCTATATAATCATTAGCCGGATCAACTGATATGTCTACTTCCAACCCTATCTTGTGTGGTTCCTTTTTTCAAGTCTAGTTGCCAGCCCTACATAACTTTTATATTTGGAGATAAAATTTTTTCCTGATACTTACTTTTTTTTTTAATAAGATGGTGTATGTGGGTTACTAGGTTATAGAGTGTATTCTAAAGCTTTATAAATTTTGCATAGAATAATAATAAAATACATAGTAAAAGATCGTGAAGACTGTTTGGCTATATCAAGTGATGGTAAAATCATAGTTACTGCTAGAACACTCTGGATGGATGAAAAGCAGCATATACACTGGAGATAGAGTGACTGTACTAGGTAGCTCTTCATACTTAGCTTCTGATTACCTATAGAGAAGAAAATTCTGATGACTTTTGTATTGCTTCAACATGGGCATTTGTGCCATCCCTAATCAGAGAGTACTAGCACACTCTCTGATAATTACATTAATAAGCACACCTGGTAAAAAAAAATATACAATTTGGAAACCATATATTTTTAATACCTTAATTGTTCACACAAGTATAAAAATCCAGATACAGGAACAGAATAACTCTCATATACAAAATAATAAGGGTTTATGTATATTAAATGGAAATTCAAAACCTATTTGTATTTTACTCAGGAAATGAAATTCATAAACTAAATATCCTAAAAACTCAACTTAATTGGGAGTCATTAGAAGAAACAGTGTTGAATTAAACATTACAGACCAAGCTACATCTATGATTAGTTGAGCTACTCAAAAGCAAAGAAAATTGCTTTCATTTAGTTTCTATTAAACCTACAGTACCAAACTAGTCATGTGGGATGAGGCATATCATAAAAAAAAAAGAGCCCCGAGTATGAAAAACTGTCTCAACTTATGGAAGGAAAAGCAAAGTCAGAACTGTCTAGGAGGTTTTGTGTGTTTGTTTGAAGTTAAGCTATATAATAAGCTATCTGTGCTCTGCCCATTATGGGTGTCAAAACCTGGTTTCTAGTATTGTAAGTCTGAGGTTTTGAAATAAAAATTGCAATTAATTTTCAAAAGTTGAAGACTTTTTCCACCAATTTTACCTTGATGAAAAATAAAGTTCCTTTCTATAGCAAAAGCTATCATCATTAGTTTTTTGTGTGTAGTGATATATAGAAAAGAACATGATGTTGTGCTAGCATCTCACTTAATAATCAACTTTAGCTTTTAATTTAAAAAAGAAAATCCATAAAAAGTTATATTCAATCCAGAGAAGAGGATTTCAAATATATCTGCAAAGTACTAATCACACAAAATTACACATACAATTGTTACTACAGATTTTAAATCTGAAGTAACTGAGCTAGAACTATCTCATCATACTGACCTGAAATGGCATGTCTGCAACTGTTTTGGCTAAATAATACATTTTTGTACTGTACCAACAGTTAAGGTGTTCTCTGATGAACACCGATGTCTCAAGAGGAACTGAAAAACATTTAATACATATTCTTATATAAGTGTGTGTGTGTGTGTGTGTATATATATCCATCATGATGTGAATGGTTTAAACATATGATTATATTGAACTGTACAAATTTATATTTCATTTTTTTACAAGTCTTAATATTTCAGATAAAAGAAATTTCAATCACTATTTTTCATGCTATAGCTCTTTAATAACCTAGAAGTTAGAATTTTTCTTACACGAAAATGTATTTCCAATAGATACTTACTTCCTGACATGGTTAAGCTATGTTCTCCACATGTCTGCTTTAGAGATTTACCTGCCACTAGCCTTTAGTGAACTCCCAACTAATCTTGTGAGATTTCTTGTGAATTTTGTTACTGCATAATGATATCATTATGTAGTAAAAGCCCTCCTTCAATAGGAGTGTGATGACCTCTATGTACAACAGCTCCCCCCTATGCATTTGCACTTGAGAACATCATTATTTGATGAGGCAAGGAATACAAAGGTGCACCAGAAGTGGGGAAGATGAGAGAGAATGTGTGTGAGAGGTGGATATCCATCAGAAATACATTTTCAGGTAAGGAAAATATTAACTTCCGAGACGATACCACACCTCTTCACACAGTTAACCTAGAATCCCATGCTCAAGTAGTGGAGGGGCTGGTGCAAAGTTTTACCTAGGTGAGATCTGTTTAAAAAGTGCTCAAAGGAAGCCCATGGGGAGTGGCACCTGATTGCAGAGGATTTATAGGGGTACACCTGTGAGAGACCACATCTCATCTCATGCAGGGTATACTTTTTCACGAACCCCATGTGTCACAGGGATGGACAGAATAAGAACATGGCTGCCTGAGTACTTGCACACAAGAGGTTGGAGATCCAATATGTATAGTGCAGTTGGGGTATGTTCAAACCATACCTTGCATGCTCACACATCAACTCTACCATCAGACTTTATTGGACTGACACCAGCTGTGGGAGGAAGGCACAGTGGTCATACCATAGATAGTGATATGGTGCGTGCACACCTCAACTCAACTGAACAGACATTAGCTGTAGGAGGAGGGCAAGGTTAGTTAGTGAATGCTCGCCTCAACTCAGCTGAACAGATGATATTCAGAAGAGAAAGGTACAAGTGTATAGTGTGCTCACAAGGATACCTCAAGTGGTCTTGCAGAGAACCCATCTCACTGTGGGCATACCTGGAGCCAGGGCAGGTGGTATTTGTACTTTCCATTATTCTAACCCGATGCAGATTTTGGGAAATAAGTATACTCTAAGAGGAACCACCACCCACCAGGCAGGATCCTATAAATGAAGGAAGGCTGTAAAATGAAAAGGAAATGTACTCATCTGTCTAAAGTATGGCAATTGGAGACAGGCAGTAACCTTCAGGAGCCAAGACAGCCAGATGGTGAAGATAGTGGGCAATGAAGGTGTGTGAGGTAGTCCACATGCCTACCTGAAGCATCTCGTCCAGTGATCATCTGAAATGAATAGTGAGAGAATAAGTGAGGTGATGAATCTAATGGGATGAAAAATCAAGCAATCTGCAAACATCAACCCCCTATGAGGAGTAGACTAAATATAAAAGTTGATGGACCCAGCCTGTAAGAGTGGGATTGGTGCACCTAGAGGAAAAGGAATCTCAGGGAATGAAGAGTTGGTAACGGAAGTCTCAAAAAGGTGAGGTACAAGATAAGTAGCAACGAACTGCACTCAACAGTCTGTCTGAGTCAGATCAATCATAAAGGTGGGAAATGAAAGGAAGGGAAATAGGAGAGAAAGATTGGTCACTTTCCCAAGTGGCTAAAGTCTTAAGTAGGAAGGACCAGTCAGGATAGAGAAGAGTATAAGAGCAACAGAAAAGAGTATGAGAAGAATCAATAGTGTAAATATCCGAATGAGTGAGGGATGAGGAACAGGAGATCAGAAGAGAGGAAGCTTTGATGAGTGGAGTCCCAAACTGAGAGCACGCCCAATGGAAAAACCTGAAGGTGAAGAACATGATCCAGTTGAGAGAGACAGTTTGCAAAAAGTTTATATCACCAGGCACATGACAGGAGATCAGATGAACCCCTTGAAAATTGGCCCAAGAGGGAAGGTTTAGGGTTTGGGAGCAAAGGATCCTGAATCAGGTACTCCCTTGACAGTTGATAAAGGAAACAAATGTGGAGTTATCAGAATGGATCATAACTAAATGATCCATTTTGAAAGGGTAAAAAATGGGAACATGCCCGACAAACAACCAGAAGTTATGTTGATATGGAGAAAGCACTCATCCAGGGTCCAAGTGCAATATGTAAGATTGTCATTCAGAGATTCTCCCCAGCCAGAGAGGGAGGGAGGACTCTTCCCAGGAGTAGGACAGGAGAAGCCAATTATCCATGTAGAAGTGTATTGCAGTCCCAGTCCATTGAGATGGTGAGCAAAGACTCTGACAATGCAGTTGAATATGTTATGGGCTAAATGCAGTGCCAAATGGAAGAGCTCAAAACTGAAAGATACAATCGTAATTTGTTGAATGAAATGAAAGAAATGTTGTGAGGATGCGGCAATTTGAATATGCAGAAATGAATCTGAAATGTTGACCTTGGTCATCGATAGTCTGGACGAAAAGGATCAATGGAGAAAAAAAGAAATTTTGCATACAAAAGTGTGGGACAATCAGGAAGCAATTGAGGAAGGAAAGGTCAGTAACTGAACATCAGTCCTCAGTCTTTTTGGGGACCACAAAGAAATGAGAGCAAAACTTCAGAGGATTATACACTCTCTCTATGGCTATTTTGTCTAACAAATTCAATACTACCTCCTTGAGACATTGAAAGTAAATGGGGTCAGATGGAGAAGGAAAGAAATGGGATGAGAACTGAGAGGGAGAAAGAAAGAGAAATGAAAAGAAAGTCCATGGGCAAGAACTTAAGTAACTCGTTTGTTAGCAGAAAAGTGTGACTATAAGTGTGCAAACCATGACAGACAGGCTCTGATGAGACCTGAACTGACCTGTTAATCACTGATGAGCTTGTTGAGTCTGATGCTGGCTAGAAGAGGAAGGTCCGGAAGTGAGAATCAAATACCAAAAAATCAGAGGAGGTTGGTTGGGGTACAGAGATAGAGGAGAGGGTTTGAAAAATTGGAAACTAAGGATGAAGGTAAGGACTGATGATGGGCAGCTTTCACCTGGGATCTAATAGAATTAGGAAAACCCAAAAAAACTTCAGAGCAAAGAAAGGGAGCTAAGCAAAGATCTTGTAGAAAGAAGAAGAAAGGTGAACCTGGGTATCCCTACCTAACAAGTATCAACAACAAAGGAGACAAATGAGCAGGGAAGTGGTAGAAGTGGAACAGGCCATAGTAGAGAAGAGAAAAAAAGAGTCATCCAAAAAATCATCTGAGGCATGGTGGAGTGCCTTGGACATGAGGTGTAAAAAGGAGAGGTAAGGAAGTAAGGTAAGAGGATCAGGTGAGGATGGGAGTATTGGGCACTGGAAAGCAAAACCAATGACAAAGAGTCCACCCTCCCAAAGAGGTAAGAGAGATTTCAAATTTTGTGAATTTAGAAAGGGGAAATCAGAGTGAATATAAATCATAAGATAAAAATCAGACAGATTAGGACACAGGAGAAAGAATGGTACATATTAACTCCTGATAATGTAAGGAAGTTTAAGGGTTATCCTCAAATGGAAGAGAAGTTCCCAAAATAAAAGCAGAAACAAGTGATTAGATTCATCCTCCTCATTCACCCCCTGAAAATGAGAGGAAGTTTTGCCTGAAGGGATGGAAGCTGAAGGTCCTGTTGCATAAAGAACACACTATGCAATGCACAATAGCCATCATGTCATCTCTAGTCAATGCACCTCCAGAAGTCATAGTTGATACATCACTTGTGTAACATGTGACTTCATAGTGAAGAAAAATACAGAATATTTAGTTCTTTAAACTGCACAAACCTCAGTAAATTAAAGAAACAAAAACACATCTGGAGTGTTCAGTGCCAAGGAAAAAAATTAGTTTTTTCAGTTGAAATACATGGAGGTAAGTTGCCCTGCTATTGGTAGGGGGCTTCTGCTGCATAATGATGTGATTAGGCAGTAGTACAATTCACACAAAGTTTCCTATGATTAGGCAGGAGTTTACTGAAGGCTAGTGGCATGCACATCTCTAAGGTAGACATATTGGGAAGATAGTTTAACTGTGTACAGAGTTGTGGTATCATCTTAGAGAAGTTTGTTTCATGAATAATTCCGAATCTCCAGTTAAAATGTTTAAACCTGAAATAATATTTCTCTTGAAAAAGTTTATTGAAGTCACATGCAGGTATATTTGTATAAAATGCAGAACTACTATTATGTTTCATCTTGATTTGTATTGAGACTTTACAGGAATGTTACAGACTGAAACTGCTGTACTTAGGTGAGTTTTCATTAGTTTACTTCTCACTTCCAACTTATAACATGCAAATAATGATACTATATTTTTTATTTTTTCTGATATTTTGGTCATACACTATGTATTGTTATTCATAGAAAACACCTGATCAATTTTCAGGCAAAGTTATCCATTGTAATAATCACATAATTACATATAAAGTAAATTTTGCATTTTCAATCAGAAACAATTTGCAAAAATACAGGTTTTACTTTGCACATATTAAATGTAGTAGTAGTAGTAGCTATAATGTTAGCTTACATGCTTGCAAGTAATCTGAAAAAGCAAAGAACATTTTAACCTTTCAAAAAACTTTTTCTTATAAAAAAAATTAATGTCTGATAGTTTTACAAAATAGTTTAGGTATGAATACCACTACTATTAAATGCATTGCTTATACTAGTAAAAACTTACATGTTAACACAGTTGGCATCATTGATGTAAACATTAGGAATAGCAAAGTGAAAAACAGAAAAGCTGAATTATTCAACATTTTCCCAGCATCATTACCAATAGAGAGAAAGAGAAGTCCAATCATGACACCAACTACAAGATGTGTAGCTAAGCGAAGTTGAGTCAGCATCTAAATAAAATCATTAAAAGTACTTAAGGAAGCAAAACAGAAGCAACATACTCCTCTTTACATTTACACTAAAAATGATAATTTGCATAGAGGAATTCTTTAAGTCAAACCAAATATTTAGGGTCATATAAAACTTCTTTAAATGTACAATTTTTAGAGTTCTAAGTAAGTGATTTGTAATGAAAGGTATTCTAACAAATTGCATTTATTGTTAATTCATGTATTAATAAAAAAAATCAGAAACATACTTAATATAGATGGTACATTAAAAATCAGCACTGTACATGATTTGGCACTAAAAACAGACTGCACTACATGCACATGTATAAATAAACAAGTAAAACTGAAAACTGATTGGGATCTTACAGGTTCTCTCATAACACACAGAAAAGTCCTCTTCACCAAAACCAAAAACTGATTAAAAAGGCTAGTTGGGTAACCTTTTTTGACCAATATGTCTGTCAGATCAACCTGAAACAAAAAAGAAACAATAAGTCTTCAATATACCAAAATTAAAATATCAGATTATTAGGTTTTTGCATTTAACTTTTTGAAAAAATGAAGACTTTTATTTTAGACAATTTGTTACACATCCATATTGCTGTTTCTAAGCAAAAACTGTTTTTTGTCTCCAAAATATACAAGGTTATTCTTGGATTTAGCATAGTGGGCTAAACTTGAGCACTTGCAACTTTTTAAACACATTTGTATATTACATATTTTAATCTTTTATAAAGTTTTATGACAATTATACAGTGCATGACAAGTTAACATGCTTATGTTCTAATGACAACATAAGCTTTCAAAAGTAATGTAACATACTGATTCCAGTAGCTTATACAAAAATTCACACTCACACACACACACACACACACACAC